GTTTGTATCATCTGTTGTCGTCTTTGTTCACATTGTTTTTACTCATTTAAGAAATATGTTTCCAGAATTATACTTAATTGCTGGAAACGTTGATTTTTCTTGAGTGACAAACCAATTAAGTGTGTATGACACCAGGCAACAAAAGACACTTAAGATTCTCTGCTTACTCTGTCTTGAAGAAATCCATTATTCATCATCTTATTGTGTTTAAATACTGAGGTGAAATTTTCAATACAATAGGAAAATTGCTTTGAAAATGGAATAAATTGCTTGCAGTTCAAAGGCTGCATTTCTATAGTTGAGGTTGCTAAACATGATGTTGCTCATATTCTTTATCTTCCAGAACACATCACTCTGCTTTTCCAGCGTTAAATGTGGTGAGATTGTGACTTTTGCTAAAATGTGACATGATTGCCCAGAAAACTTAATGAAAAGACTTAAAAATCTGATTTTGGATATAATGTTATAATATATTTAAGTGGTGTTTGAAATTTTTCACATTTTTGTATCATTATTCATTTTCTAGGTGCCTTTCTTTTTGGTACTGGGGTTTGAACTCAGGGACACTCAACCACTGAGCCGCATTCCCAGTCCTATTTTGTATTTTTATTTAGGGTCTCACTGAGTTGCTTAGCACCTCACTTTTGTTGAGGCTGGCTTTGAACTCGTGATCCTCCTGCCTCAGACTCCCAAATGACTTTAAATGTTGTAATCCTAAGCAGAGAAGTTACATAAAGGAAACAATTTATTTTGGGCTCCCATCTTCACAGATCATGTAATTTTTGCCTGGATCATGTAAAATGTCATTTGCATGTTGTAAGGATGTTCTCTGATGGTATCTAGAGTAGTTGGAGTTGTTGGTGGAAGATGGTATGGAGACAAAAAAATGAGTAGCATTTTCTTCTCTTTTTTAATATATTTTTTTTAGTTGTAGATGGACACAATGCTTTTATTTTTATATGGTGCTAAGCCTCGAACCCAGTACCTTACATGTGCTGGGCAAGAGCTCTACTACTGAGCCCCAAGAATAGCATTTTTATTGGTGAATTAGAATGTTCAAAGAGGGTGAAAACAAGTGACTGCTATTTCTCTTAGCATAGTTAGGTCGAACAGAAGTTCTTCTATCATTTTTAGTGACAGTATGGTGTTCCATCGTATACTTAACCAGTTCTTTAAACATTAATGCTTTTTCCTTTTCCTTGGTTACTCTTTCAAGCAGCGTGGTATGGGGATGATCATCTTTGAAGATACATCTTGTGCACATTTAATTTCCATGGGCAATTAGAACCTCTAGTTGGTTTGTGATGCTGCTTCACAAATTGTTCACTGCTCTTGCTGCTACTGTGGGTGTCCGTCCAGGCAGACACTATGGGGCACACCGGTAATCCCAGCGACTCGAAGGCTGAGACGTGAGGATTGCATGTACAAGGTTATCCTGGGCACTTTAGCAAGACCTTTTCCGAAAGTAAAAATAATTAATAAAAAGGGTGGTAGAACACCTGTTTAGGATGAATACCTGGGTTCTAGTCTCAGTACCCCCCAATTTTTTTTTTCCACTTGACAGTCAAAGAAAACATTATCCCTTCTTGTTTGAATTTATATTACTTAAAAGACCTTTTTGGAAACAAATTATTTCCACACATGAGACCTTTTAATGGCTTCCCATTATGCCTGAAACAATACTGAAACTCTTGGTACCTTTCTAGCACTGTGTGCCTGGTCCTGCCCATCTCTTGCTGTCCTGCTGCCCAAGGTCTCTGCAGCCCTCACTGGTCTTCCTAGATCTTTAGTGGATGGCTGCTCTCCATAGGTGTTACCTCTAAGGAGGACCTCCTAGGTGATCCAAGGAAGACCTTTCCAGTCACTTCCATTCGTGCCACCCTGCCTGTTGTTCTAGTATTTTTCTCTGTAATTGACTGTGTACTTCCTGTTACTGACCCTGCAGGATTGGAGCTTTAGAGGAGAGGGCCTTGCTGTCAATTGCTTTTTTTTTCTTATGCTGCAGGTATTTCCCCCAGAGTCTGATTTGCTTTAAAATTATTTTTCTTCAGGGATCTGAAGTGTTTGGCCTGCTATCTGGCCGTGTTCAGTACTCAGTAAATTTCAGTCCTTGTCAGTTGTGTCCATTTTCCCTGGCCCTCAGGAATTGTTGTTTTTGGTTTTGGTCCTTGGTTTGAGTAAGGAGCCTATTCTCCCAAAATTTGATGTTATGAAGGAACTTGCTCTTTTTTGCTTTGAGTGTGAGGATTTGTTTTTTCCTTTTTGGCTTACAGCTTATTTGTAAATGTAGTCCCCGCCCCACCAAAGTATATATGGATTTCAAAAAAATCTTTCAATTAATAATGATTAAAATCCATTGTGATGACAGAGCCCATTTTATGTGATTTTACTTATTTGTTAGGGTTGGTGTTCTGACCCAGGATAGGATCTGTGGGTGAGTGATTTCTTTGTGTATTTGAAGAGAACAGTATTATGCTGTTATGGGTAGTGTTTTCTATAAATGCCGGTTAGGTTAGTTGCTGATGTGGGTTGTACCTTTATATCCTTTCTGATTTTTCTTTTTCCTGTCAGTTATTGAGAGAAGAGTTTTAGTCTTCAAGTACCACTGGATTTCCCTTCCATTTGTATTAGCATTGCTTCATGTGCTTTGAAGCTTTGGGCCTGGCTAGGTGCATATACGTGTATAATTGCTAGATCGTGTTAGTGATTTAATTCTTTTACCATTTGTGATGTCTTCCTTCATTCTGGCAAGTTTTTTTTTTATGTTAATATGGCTGTTTAGTTTCTTAGTGTTTGCATCACACATTGTTTTCTGTCCTTTTATTCTCTAAGATCTTTTGATACATATTGTGTTATAGTTAAGTTACTTCCAGTAGGTGGTGATTTTTGTACTCCAGAGACATTTTTCATTGTCCTGCCAAGGCAGTGATTCTGTTCAACATTCTGCATGCACGGGACAGACCCCCACAGTAAAAAATTCTGTGGCATGAGTTGCAGTGTAGGTGGCTGACTCTCCACTCTCTGCTCAGCTTACCATCCTACCACTTCATATGAACTGTGGAGTGCCTGCTCCTTATGTTGTATGGTCACTTGTATTCCAGCCTCTTCACATTGAAAACAGTGTTATATTTCTTGTTTTGAATAGTTATTCTTGTCTTAAAAGACCTTTCTGTTGCTCTTTTTTTCCCTGGAGTTCTGGGTTACTTCTGGTATTTTATTTTCTTCATCCTGACACTTGCTTTGGCATTCTTTTAGGGCAAATCTGCTGCTGAAAACAAACTTTCTGTTTTCCCTTATCTGAGAATGTCACTGTCTTGTAGGATGTAGCATTCTAGGTTGGCAGCTCCTTTCTTTCAGTTCCCCTGGGGGCTGGGGTTGTGGCTCAGCAGTAGAGCGCTCACTTGTGCAAAATAAAGGTATTGTGTCCAACTACAACTAAAAGATAAATATTTAAAAAACCCCCCAAAAAAACAAAAAACAAAGAACATTAATTCCTCTGTCTTTTGGGCCTCTGATTTTCCTCCACCAGAGAGATGCCCCCATGCATTTGAATGGATGTCCCTGGCTCTGTTGGTTTGAAATACTCATCTTACCCCTTATGTGTATGTTAAGGATTTCAATATTCTCTTAGATATGTTTTTGTTATAGGGTCTAGCTGGTTCTTTTTATGGCTACTTAGCTGAGAGCAGTGGCACATGACTGTAATCCTAGTAACTCAGAAGGCTGAGGCAGAATGATTACAAGTTCAAGGCCAGCTTGGGCCATTAGTGAGACGCTCTCTTGAAAACAAAATTAGAAGAACTTTGGAACTACTTGGGATGTAGTTCAGTGGTAGAGTGCCCCTCAGTTGAGTCTCTAGTAATGCAGTAAAAACCAATAAAAGCAGAAAATGGATTTTGGAGATTGTGAGGAGACATTTCAATTTCAGTGACTACCATTGTCACACACCCATCTCAGAAGTTTTGTTTTCTTAATTTTCTTTTTTCTTTTTGTATTGGGGATTGAACCCAGGGATATTCAACCACTGAGGCACATCCCCAGCCCTTTTTTGTATTTTATTTAGAGACAGGGTCTCACTGAGTTGCTTAGGGTCTTGCTAAGTTGTTGAGGCTGGCTTTAAACTTGATCCTCCTGCCTCAGCCTCCTGAGCTTCTGGGATTACAGGCATATGCCACCTCATCTGGCTATTTTCTTAATTTTAAAATTGAGATAATATATAGCATGTGAGCTCCATGTAAAATTAAGATAGCAATTATTGAATTGCCATTATGGTTTCTGACACTGTTCTCAAAAAGGTGAATTTTTATTTTGTAAAGAGATTATTTTTGTGATTGAGGAAAGCCAAAGTGACAGTGTGGATGGTGGGCTGCTGTTTCTTGGGATGGGAAGAGATCTTTTGCCTTCTAAAACATATTCTACTTGTTGATATTTTTTTCCTTGAGTAGAACATTTTAGTAAAGGCACTGATGAAGACAGAATAAATTGGACATAGCACTGTTCCCTGTGTGTGTCAGTATATCAACTCTGAAACAAACTCAAGGATGGCGTGAGAACTTTCAGTCTATAGACAACTATACTTTGTCAAAAATCACTTCAGGAACTCTGGTAACTAATATGTGACTGAGGGTTTAGCTGATACTTGTAGCCTTAAATTTTTGGCTGATGGCCATATTTGTATGATTACTTTTACTATTCCTGACTTGAATGCAGTGAGTGAATGTTGGGCAGGCCTGCAGAGCTGTCATCCAGCCATGCATGTGGAGGTGTCTGGGACTGTGGCATGGGTATTGTTGGCCTCTCAGCCAGCACTGGCTTCCTGGTGTAGACTGGTTGCCTGTTTACCTGGGCAGCTTGGTTTTCTGCACTGCTGTTTATGAAAGCAGCTCCATTTGAAGAAATGATAGCCAGCAAGTAGTAGGTAGCGGTTGTCGTAAACGAATCCCACGCTGTTACAGAAGAATGCTTGGTCTGCTCAACTCTCTGTTCCTGCCTTTAACTAGGTACCAGCTGGAGGATGAGTCTGCCCATTTGGACGAGATGCCACTAATGATGTCTGAAGAAGGCTTTGAGAATGATGAAAGTGATTACCACACGCTGCCGCGAGCCAGGATAGAGCGAAGGAAAAGTGGTCTGGAGTGGTTTGTCTGCGGTGGATGGAAGTTCCTCTGTTCCAGGTTTGTCATGCTTATGAGCTTACCAGCTAGTATAACTGCAAGATGTATTGATAAGTCTCTATAAAAACCAAAGACACTGGGTTGTCACAGAGAGTACTTAGAACATTAGTCAGACCAAACAGTGCTAATCAGAAAGTCAGGGAAAACCAAGTTCATTATTTTATAAGACATTTAAATAGTTAAAAGCTGAGGGAAATTAGTGGCTTTGTAATTAATGCATGGCGGAATTAATTCTGGTCACTGTATCAACATTTATAAATGGCATTCCTTTCTTATCCAAAAAGATGGAGATGGACCTATAACATGCAGCTTAATAGCACTGTAATTATGTGTATTATTCAGCTTTAGTGCTTTGACTTGGAATAAGACTCTTCTGTAGGTTTAGCCAGCAAGATATTAAGACGGAAACTCCTATTTAAGACAAGTTTCCTGGTGCTAAGATAAACTGGTGTGGTTTGCCTTTGAGTAAATTCTGGCAGGTGAAAGAGCTCTGTGCATCTCAGACACCTTTTTCTCCCGCCACCAGAAGCAGGGAGCAAGAGCTACAAGAGCTAAGTGAAGCCCTGTGACTAGAGCAGAGCCTGTCCAGTGCATCATGCTCATCACAGAGTCTTCTTCAGCCCTTGTATTGTCCATAAAAGGAAGGTGAATATTTTTAAAGACAGGTTTTGTTTTTCATGCTTTTCATCATTCTTTTGCAAGTTTGCACAAAGATGTTCCTATTGCCAATTTGATTTCTGGGTCAGCTTGCGAGGTGATACTCACTGTTTTGTGGAACTGTAGGAAATTGGCAGCATAGAGAAAGGAGAAGAGCAAGATTTAGCTTTAACTCCCTATTTAGCTTTCAATCAGATCATAACTATCCTTGTCCTTGTTGTATATCACAGGCTTTCATGTAAAGAAAGAATTTCATAGTTAACCAATGTTTTAAAAATTGCTGATGGTGGGATACTAATTAATAAGAAGTCTCTGTGACTTATTGAAAGCATTTTCTAGTTAAGTGGCCAATATTCCAAGATACCCGGAGTGGTCTTTGTGGGTACATACTTAGTTGTAGGGTCAATTTTTTAAATAGATTTGGGACTACAGTTATTTTTTTATTTGTTTTTCTTGTGTCAGTTATGATGGGGATATGGCTTGGTGGTTGAGCACCCCTGGGTTCAATCCCCAGTACTAAAAAAAAAAAAAAAAAACATGAAAACACTGGACGAATTTCCATTGAAAGACCAGCAATCTTTATTCCAGCTTTTGAATGAATTTATTCATGGTCTTTTCCTGTGATCTGTTGAATGTGTGGGATCTGCAGTGATGTCAACTTTTAAAATTTATAGAGCTCAGGCAGAGTAGGTTTAGTATAATTCTTAGGGGCCCTAGGATTTTTTGGAATGATATATGAATGATTTTTTGGAATGACGTATGAACATTGGCTGCATTAGTCCCTGTCAAGAGAATCAGCCTGTACTTTGAAGCTTTGAAACAGGTAATTGCCTGTTCTCAGCTCCCTTCAGGGAAGTCACCATGAAGAGCACTAATTTTTCCTCTTCAGCTGTGACAGACCTAGCTAGCATCTTTTTCCAATGGAAGACTATATTATATCCACATCGAGCATCTTGTTAGTGTAGATACCATCATCGTTTGTCTTCTGGAATACTTGTAGCTTCTGCCAAGTACTTGCTGCTTCACCTTGTATTTTTATATTACAGAGACTTTACCTTAAACAGAGGTGAACCAACCTCTGTTCTCTTGGCTTCAAACTTTTCTTCTGCATTTACCTCACCTCTCAGCCTTCATGGAGTTGAAGGGAGTTGGAACCTTGCTTTGAATTTAGCTTTGGCTGTAGGGAATGTGTGGCTGTTCTGCTCTTCTGTTCAGACCACTAGAACTTTCTTTATGTCAGCAGTTAGCCTGTTTCACTTTCTTATCATTTATGTATGCATTGGAGCAGCTCTTTTAATTTTCTTCAAGAACTTTTCCTTTGTATTTATACCTTTGTTGCAACAAACCTTCAACCTTTAAAGATGTTTCTTGTCTAAAAATGTTATTAATTTTTTTAAATATCTATCTTGTATTAAAATATAAAACTAATCAGGAGGGTTGGTCTGATACAATTCTGTCAGATCTGGACATGTAAGTTTGAGAGTTCTTACTGTGCTGATACTGGAAGCCTCAAGGAAGGTTGTTATCCTTGAAAGTGCACCTATTGGGCTGGGGATGTGGCTCAAGCGGTAGCGCGCTCGCCTGGCATGCGTGTGGCCCGGGTTCGATCCTCAGCACCACATACAAACAAAGATGTTGTTGTGTCTGCCGATAACTAAAAAATAAATATTAAAAAAAAAAAAAAAGAAAGTGCACCTGTTGCCAGGTCTATGAAGAATAAAGGAGATAGGGACTTTGGCAGTTGGAAGAGGGCAGGAAGAATGAAGTGTTGATGGAGATGACTTTTATTGTGTTCTTATTGGAACTGTGGGGTCACTTGAGTTAGCAGGGGATTAGGATACAGATGAGGACTTAAGATATGAGAAAAGTCAGCCAGGCTTTGGTAGCAATTGCTAGTAATCAGTAAAGGAAACTCAATACACATGAATTTGTAGTGATTGTGGCATATTTTATGGCTGTTTGTCTGTCGGGGAAGAGCCTGAACCTTTATATAACTGGTTGTGAAAGCATGGGCGGGGAGCTTCTGTGGGACTGAGGCCCACAGTATTGTGAACTGAGTAGATTGTGGTGGGCTACTGATTACTACCAGTTTGATGGCTGTGGGGTATATCTCAGAGGCATGAGTTCCCCACAAGTGTGGGTTGGAGGTAGTATTTTTCCTCTGCTCTGTAAGGCGCCTTCTTCAAAAAAGGCTGGTGTTCCTACTACTATAGTTAAGACCTGGCAAAGTCTCTCTCTGGACAGGTGAGGGTCAGGCCAGCCCTTTTTCTGTTCCCTGGGAAAAGTGATAGGACAAGAAGATGTGGCCTGAATGAGCTTGATCCTGATTTGCAGTCTTCGAAGTGCAATGGCTATTTGGTAATTGCCTGTTCTCAGCTCCCTTCAGGGAACACTGGATTGAGAAGGCTGAGGGTTTGTGTTCAATGTGTCAGGAAGTCCTCTAATGTGGGTGGAGACTGAGTTGCTGAAATCCTTGAGGCTGTGGGAATGAGCACTAATGGGCACTAAGCCACAGGACACAGACATGTTCCTGGTGACAGTTGCTTGACAGGTATTATATGTTATGGGATGGGGCTTGCTTGACCATGCTAGCAGCAGTCCTGCCAGCCTATACTGGTCAGCAAGCTGCAAAGAATTGTGGACTTGCAGCGCTGTCAGGCTCATCATTATTATTGAACTAATATTTTGCCTTTTTTTAATAGAAAAAATGTTAACCATATGGAACATGACAGCCATGTTTTGAATTTTACTTATAGTATACTCCTTTTCTTAGAGAAAATATTAAGAATATATTTGAAAATGTATGTGTTGACAGACAGACCACTCAATTTGGGGGATGGCGAAACAGCTCAATGAAATATCTAGATATTGAATTAAAGATTCAAATATCTTTTAAATCTTTATTTTAATAAATCTGATTCTGTAAGAGCTAAACCGTCCTCGCTGGCTCTGTTTAGTCTACATGTTGTCACTAAGGAGGGTCCTGTTGCCATGTGGGATAGGAAGTAACCTGAGATATCTTTAACTCTTGTTCATTAGGTTACATCAAGAAATTGTTATGGAAATTAGAAATTGTACCTTAGTCATATTGTACATTTAGCAACTAGCTTGTTATTATTTTTTGGCCACTTTATTTTCTAAGTACCAGGCATTATAAAATTCGTTGTTATTGAAATTATTAGATAATGATTCAAAGAGGTAGGTACACATAAAATTAGTTTAATTGCAAGAAAAAATGCTAATGATTATTGCAATACAAGTAGATTGTAATTAATATGTAAATATTTAAATATATCTGCATGTGAGATACATTTGAGTAGGAAAGCTTTTTTTTTTTTTTTTAAGTTTTATTTTTTAGTTGTTGATAGACCTTTATTTATATGTGGTGCTGAGAATTGAACCCAGTGCCTCACACATGCTAGGCAAATGTGCTACCGCTGAGCCCCAGCCCCAACCCAAGGAAAGCTTTTTTTAAATTTTTTTTTTTTTTAGTTGTAGGTGGACACAATACCTTTATTTTATTTTCATGTGGTGCTGAGGATCGAACCCAGTGCCTCACGCATGCTAGGCAAGTGCTCTACTAAGCCACAACCCCAGCCCCAATACCTTTATTTTATTTGTTTATTTTTTTATGTGGTACCGGGGATTGAATTCAAGTTCCTCATGCATGCTAGGCAAGCGTCTGCCACTGAGCCATAACCCCGGTCCAGGAAGGCTTTTTTAAAAATCATTATTCTTCAGGGACTGAGTAGACTCTGATTTCTTCATGACTTAAGACTCACTTTTCATTTTTATTATTTGTCAGAAATACCCACTTGGACACTTTGGGGAAAAAAAACAAAACTCTGAAATCTTTTAATTAAAACTTTTGAATTTCTTTCATGTGAATGAACATACCTTCCTGTAAGTTGCTCTGAGGCACTAGTTGGTATATGTAGTTCTATGATTCAGGTTGATGGTCATTCTCACGAGATTTACATTTCACTTATTATCAAAAATCACTTTGTCTCTAGGAAAGTGGAGTTGAGATGGCATTTCCATATGAAGGGAAAGGAGAGGGAGTATCAATTGCTGGGATTATTTCTGGTTCTAAATGGCCTCTGTACTTTGAATTAATCTGTAAAACATGTGGGGTACAGAGCCATGGGAAAATGCTGGTCTTTTAAGACAAATGTGAGTACTGTGTTGCTTTTTTCTTAGTAATTAAAGGTACCTATTAGATATAGTAATTGACCAATTTTGGGTGGAGGATGAAGGGAAGGAGGCTGTCTAAATTTTGAGGGTTATTTCATTATGGTTAAAATTTTGGAGCACAGAATCTTGAAATACAAAAATGTTTAATA